AAAAATACATTCTTAATTGAAACAGGAGTATTTAGGTTATTATCTTCTTAGCTTTTACTTGGGCAATGGAGAGAATTATTTGTGCCATTTCTTTGCAGGTCCTGAAGAAAGCTGACATGATTCGCAAGAATGCTGTTGAAAGTATTTTAGCTGAACGTGATATTTTGATCTCAGTCCGGAATCCTTTTGTGGTGAGCAGGTCTAGCTTGCAAAGCATTTATCTTTCTTGAGAAATGGTCATTACATTCTAACACGAATTTGAACTGTATCAGGTTCGGTTCTTTTATTCATTCACATGTCGCGAGAATTTATATCTTGTGATGGAGTACCTGAATGGAGGAGATTTATATTCGTTATTGAGAAATTTAGGGTGCTTAGATGAAGACGTTGCTCGAGTATACATAGCCGAAGTTGTAAGTTTCATTGATATTGCTTATGCATGCTGCGCAACCAACACAGTTAAATTTTGCTGGAACTGTTTATTTTGATAATATTTCTTCCCAGGTGCTTGCTCTGGAATATTTACATTCTCTGCGTGTGGTGCATCGCGATTTGAAGCCAGATAATTTGTTGATTGCACATGATGGTCACATCAAGGTAATTTTCTGTTATGTTTTCTTTCTAATGAATACTATTTTCTGCTAATAATTTTTTGATGTGTTATTAATTTATTTTTGCTCCTTAATTCAATTTTTATTATTTCATGGTGCATGTCAAGTAAGAATTTCTTATACTAGAAATTCTCTGCTCATAGAATTCAAGATTTATTGAGATTAGAAGAGAGTAAAGAGGTTCCTTCAATGAAAGGTATGTGAGAGGTCCACGTTGGATAGAATTGGTAGATTGCAACTATTCATCCCTTAGGAGATGATTTTTTGAGAGGCTAGTCATCTGCCACCATGATTTTTTTCGTAACATATGTTATTAACCAGCTGGAACAGAATGATCTTTCCATGGTTTTCTTTCATGTGATGGTTTCTTGAGCAACTTCCATGGGATTTTTAGCTTTTGGTCTCATTGCTTCAAGCACGGCTAGGGCAAGACCAGTCTACATCCCAGCAAGGAGGGGTGCAGATTCTTTTGTTCTCACACAACCAAAAAAGAAAAGATTTAGAGCAACTTAATAAAGTTGAGAAATCTATTAGAAATACTTGGGTGATTTAGGAAACTCATAATGGTAAAGGTCAAATACTGTTAGGTTGCGTGAATGTACATTGCCTTTATAAGAGGAAGATGCTGGCAGCAGGTCAAAGAGGCATGTGTATAAAATGAGTACAGCTGCTATGTGGTGCTACTGTGTGAATGCTTTAGTTCACATCATATTTAGGGAGTACATTCAACTCCTAAGATTTTTGTGCTAAACTGACTGTTGTTTTCTATTCTTCTGGACAGTTGACAGATTTTGGGCTTTCAAAGGTCGGTCTCATCAACAGCACTGATGATTTATCTGGTCCAGCAGTTAGTGGGACATCCCTACTTGAGGATGATGAGCCACAGTTGTCAGCATCTGAGCATCAGCGGGAAAGACGGAAGAAGAGGTCTGCTGTGGGTACACCTGACTATTTGGCACCAGAAATACTTCTGGGAACAGGACATGGTTCGTATTGCGTTTTTTTAGTTTAAGGTGCTATAATTATCCTCTCATCTATTCACATAAAGTTTTTTTATTTCGCTCGGAAGCTGACAGATGTTAGATGTAAAACCAAAGCACAGGCTAGGTTTATCACTCATAAGTTCTAGCTATTGGTGCTTTTGAGGTTTTTAGACTCCAAATATATACCATACTTTCTCTTATAGCAATGCAGATATGCATTGAGGGGTGTTACAAACTTGTTTAATTAAGTAGATCGCTTTCTTGTGATCTCAAACGAACATAAACAAATACAAACTCAGATGAAATGAAACCTGTATCCCCAACATGACAGTAGGTCTGATGTTGGCTCTAATACCATTGGTAAAACCACAAGCCTACAATAAATTCAGTTCCCCCTACCTTTATCATTTAGGATTTAGGGTGTTAAATTGGATTTGGATCTAAATGGTTAATCATGGGTTAAAAGGATTCGTCTTTTGAATCTAGTGTAGAAACTAATTCCTATAAAGTCTAAACATTAGTAAATTTCAAAAAATTGTGTTCCAACATCCTGCTCTCTTATTTTTATTATTAATTTCAATTCTTTATGCTTGAAAGATGGAGTTTGGATCAAAGCAGTTGCTCATGGAATAAAAGATTTGATTGTTGGGTTTAGTTTAGGATTTATTTCTACAAAGTTTACACATTATTCCAATTCCAAATGTTGCACTCATTTTGTGCTTTACACCTTTTGACCTACGAAGTTACTTGTTTCTTCTAAGTTGGTCACTTGTTGAAGTGGTAAGGCTGATCTGCTGTATATTTTTCTTTAGGTGCAACTGCTGATTGGTGGTCTGTAGGAATCATTTTGTTTGAACTGATTGTCGGCATTCCACCGTTCAACGCAGAGCATCCTCAGGTTAGTGCCTCACTTCTAAATGCATTCTGTTCCTTACAAGGGTTAGTTGCTCTATTCTTTTCACTCACTTTGTAATGTAGAACCTGAGTAATAGGAGGACTCAATTGTTTCAGCTAGAGACAAGTAGCTTTATCCTATGATTGTTCCTTCAGGAGGAATTATTTTTCAAACGAGGAAGGGATCATTAGTTCTGCAAGATTTTTTTTTTCTTTTTCTATGATTATGAATCATCATAATTTTTACATTGGTAGTGGCTTGGCCATAACTGATTGGAAGCAATAATTTGTTTTAAAACACATTTGTGCTGTCTTTGTCAGGGCTACATTTATTTTAAACAAAAATGGAAAAATGTGGTCAAAATATAGTAGATGACTGCTAGGTTGTGTCGTGTGTGACTTATGACAAAGAGACGAAAGTTGAATATCTCGATTCATTGAGTGTTTTGCTTGTAATTTAGTTTGCTCAAGTTCTCATACTATGTTTCTTCTTTTCCATGTTCTTTGCTTTTAGCAAATATTTGATAATATTCTCAACCGTAACATTCCTTGGCCTCGGGTGCCAGAAGAAATGAGTCCTGAAGCACAAGATCTGATTGACAGGTAATAACATTGCTTGTTGATACCATTTGAAAATTTAGGAAAAACCTCAAATAAAACTAACATTTGTCTCCGAAACAGTGTATAATATTTGTATCTTTTCCTTCCACTGATATTGCAAAATTAGTTCTTGCATTGCAATACATTTGTGCAGCTTCTTATTAAAACAGGTCCTGTTTGATTTATTTATTTAGGTTGTTCCTTCCCTATCGGATTTTGAAAATATTTTGTGATCTTGTGTACTTTTTGATATATGAATGAACCTAGCTTGCCACATCCATCAGAAAGTTACTGCACTCTGATATAGTGCCGGTGAATATTCTAAAATCAATGTCATTTATCGAATATCTACTCCAATTAGATTCTTGTGCTAGAAATAATAAGAATAATGCTGCATTGTCTGATTTCTTTTCATCCCACGTGCCATGAGATTTCTGTTGCAAAAATTATACGACGAAGGAAACATAGACATAGTCAAACATAGACGGAAAATATAGTTGCATTGTTCCATGTTTATATCACTAAGTATGAACAAATCTGTTCCACCCATTGGGGAAGCTCGGAACTACTTTTACAGTTAAAA